AAGTGTTTGTCAGGTTGGATGGGGCTCTGAGCAACCTGGTCCAGTGGAAGGTGACCCTTCCCAGGGCAGGGGAGTTGGAAACAGATGATCTTTAAGATCCCTTCCAACCCAAACCTGTGATTCTACGATTCAATAAGCCCCAGTCAGTGATCGGATTATCTTTTCTATACTATTTTCCCAATTCAGTATTTAACGACACATTAAGTGTATTAAATTATTTTTTTCCCAAATTCTAAGACCAGAATACAACCCTTGCTGTAATAAATACTGACTTCAGCAGAGAGTTGTTGTGAGGTTTTTGAAAAATTATATTTTTCTCTATGTATATTTTTCAACTACATTAATGCAAGTTACTATTCGGGGTGCTTTTTTTTACCAGCTTTTTTATTTGATTATGCAGAGACACAGATTCATGCTGAAACAATGCAAATATTATTCATTGTTTCAGGATTAGACTTATTTCATACACATATAATCAGATTTAAAGTTTAAAAAGGAATACAAAGAAACATTGGGAAAAGACAATTTAACTGTTCAAACACTTTGGAAATTCATTCTGATCCTCAGATGCACTGATTCTCAGATCCCTGCTGTTTAAAATTACGGTCAGCATCTCTCCAGTACTTTCTGACATCAAGTATCTTTTTCTATTTCTATTCCTTTAACTAAATTTGGGCCAAACGTGTACATATATCTGCACATGAGCAGATCACCTTGAGCGTGTTCACACGGCACACACAGGACAACCAAGGGAKCAGACYCAGCCAGCAGRAAGGGCAGGTCCTRCCTGATAAACCCAACCTTTCATGACCAGGTGACCTGCCTAGTGGATAAGGGAAAGGCTGTGGATGTTGTCTGCCTGGACTTGATGGTCCTTTGACACAATCTCCTACAGAACACTCCTGGAAAAGCTGGCAGCACACAGCTTGGACAGGTGCACTCTTCACTAGGTTAAGAACTGGCTGGAAGGCCAGGCCCAGAGAGTGGTGGTGAATGGTGCTGCACTCAGTGGGTATCCGGTCATTAATGATGCCCCCCAGGGATCAGTGTTGGGCCCAGTTCTGTTCAATATCTTTACTGTTTATCTGGATGAGGGGATTGAGCATGCAGCACTACAGGCTGGGAGCAGAGTGGCTGGAAAGTGGCCCAGTGGAAAAGCACCTCGGGGTGCTGGGCAACAGCAACTGAGCATCAGCCACTGTGTGCCCAGATTGCCAAGAAGGCCAGTGGCATCCAGCCTGTATCAGGAACCRTGTGGCCAGTAGGACCAGGGCARTGAACATCTCCCTTYACTTGGCACTGGTGAGGTCACATCTCAAGTGCTGTGTCCAGTTCTGGRCCCCTCAGTTCAGGAAGAACACTGAGGTGCTGGAGCAGGTTCAGAGAAGGGCAATGATGATGAATGATGAAGCAGAAGATGGTGAAGGGTCTGCAGCACAAGTCCTGTGAGGAGCGACTGAGGGAGCTGGAGTTGTTTAGCCTGGAAAAGAGGAGGCTCAAGGGCCTCATCTCTCTCTACAGCTCCCTGGAAGGAGGCTGTAGCCAGATGGGAGTCAGTCTCTTCTCCCAGGCAACCTGAGACAGGACAATAGGACATAGTTTTAAGCTGTGTCAGGGGAAGTTTAGATTGGACATTAAGAATTTCTTCACAGAAAGGGTGATTAAACATTGGAATGGACTGCCCAGGAAGGCAGTGGAGTCCCCAGAGGTGCTTAAAGAAAGACTGGATGYGACACCCAGTGCCATGGTCTGGTTGACCAGATGGTTGGTCACAGGACAGACTCAATGATCTCAGAAGTCTTTTCCACCTAYTTGACTGTGATTCTATTGTTCTGTGATATTCTAACTGAGCTTGTTTCAAGGGTCAAGTTTTCAGCTAGAGCACAATAATCTAATCCTATGTGTGGAAAAAGAAATCTCTAATTCCATTTGAACTAGATTTTGTTCAGATATGCACTGGAAATTGAAAACAAGACATGTTAATGCTTAGAATTACAGATGTAAAGCAGTTCAGTACAAAGGCTTCCAAACGTCATTCATCCTGCTACCATATAACTTTATTTCAGCACCATAGAAGCAGATTTTAGGTAAGTGAAGTGTTTGGCAACTGGCAGCTTTAAACACACCAACACTATCCTGCCTTATTTATATTTTATTGGTATGCTTGTATTCAGTGTTTCAGTTTCTGAAAGTCTGTATTTCTAAGCGTGAAACACTATTAATTAGGTTAAACAGCAATTACTCATTTTCAATGAGCCTACTTTAAAGTTGCTTTCATATTGACTTATCCTTGTCACGTTCCTCTGCTGCTTCCAGCCTAGTTTTCACCTGTATTTACATTTTTCAGCAAATTTTTTGTTAATCACAAGCTCTGCTCAAAACAAATGCTCAAGGACAGATCTTTTTTGTCCTGATACTGCTTAACAAGCCTCAATCATCAGAAAAAAGGAGCCAAGATGCTTCAGTCACTCAAAATGTTAAGCTGCTGCTTTGAGTGCTACCAGTAAGAACACTGCATTGAACACCTTCCTTACACCACCCTCAGTCACCCTCATTTTCCTATGCCATATAATCCTTTTGATATGTTTTGCAAAGTTAATATTAAAATATGGCTTCCTTCATTTTACTGACTGTTCACGACCCAGGCTGATCTAGTGATTCCAGTTGCCAGTGTATTTCTCTCCTGCTTATATCTAGTTATTCCTATCTGTCACCTTGAAAAATCCTGCGTCATTCTTCTTCAGGTTTCATTTTCCTGGGGTTTACTCTGGGAAATATTTCCTGTCAGCTTTCTTCTACTCTGAAACACTACTGTTGTCTCTTCCTCCAAGGGAAGCTTTTTCAYCTCCCCTCTTCACACCCCCTTCAGATTAAATCCATCTTTCTCACTGTCAGCTGGGATCCCATGATTGCCTTATGCCTTGACCARGGTACCTATGCTTYACAYTGTAGACAGYAAWTTTTTTTTTTWWAAAAAAAWGYCTTCATRCTGTCTATTTCTCYGATTAGTAACATTTCATTCCTGTTCAGTTATTTTATAATATTTTGGGGTTTGACATAAATTCTACCCTATGTCAAAAAYCTTTAGGCAGTAACTTTTTTGGAAATGACTGCAAAAAACTGAGTAAAGTGCCTTTCTAGTGTTTACTGATCCCACCACAATCTCATCTAGAAAACACTCTTCCTAATAAACTGTTAACCAATGAGACCTTTTCATCTTATTGCAGCCCCAATTCTTCCATCTTTCACATAAAAATTTGGGTGCATATTTTAAAAATAACAGAAAGGTCTCCCCAGAAATAAGGTAAATTGCATCTTGCATATCACTTGAAGTCTGTCATTTATATAAGCAATTGCAGTGACTTGAGCATGTAGGTTATGCAATCTGTCATTTAAAAGCCATTTTAACAACAGCATAATGGATATCTGAGCACCTTGCAGCTGTTCTGCAGATTGGTACACCCATGAAGCCTGACTGGCACGTCTCACACAGGCATGAAAATGTGATATGGGTTAGTACGCTTATGGCACTGGGTTGGTTCTTTCAGCAGATCTTTCCAAAACAGGAAATAYTCAAAGCTACTCCTGTTCCTGTTTGATGTGCTCTGCACATAACACACCTTGGTTACATGTGTGCTGTATTTTCACGTCAAAATTTTTCAGATCAAAATATCTGCTTATCTCTTTGGCTTTTTGCTGTGAGAAAAACATTTTCAGCACAGAAGGGAAAATAAATTTGGTATGATTACTGTCCTTGATGGCAATTATTCAAGCAAAACAGTACCATAAAAATAACCTGTAATAATACATGTTCAATAAAATATTTTGTAGTATGTCCATTATTATTTAGAGAAGTATTTTACAGAGGTCTCATTTTAGAAATGTCTTCAACCAAGGTGATTCCATAAATAATGCTTGCACAGTACAGTGGTTTCTAAGCTATCTTGTGTCTCCTTTGTGACGTAAACTGGTTGTTATGGAGATGGTRAAATATCAACCATTCTTTGTGAGACTGTGCAAGATCAATTTTGGACCCATTACAGCAGCTTCTTTTCTCTGCTCAGCTATAATCAGCCTTTCTTAGAAACAAAAATAGATGCATAMAAAGTATGAAATGTTTTAAAGTAAATATTTGCACAATACTTTTAACTCTTTGACATACAGAAATAGATGTGTGCATTCACAATAGATATAAATTCAATCCCAAATTTCCTTCATCTGGCCTTCAAAAGAAAAGAGGCTTGTAATGTTACAAAGGCTGAACAACTTATGAACAAACAGACCACTCCTGTTTCAATCCTTGTTTTTAAATTTCATAATGTTTATCTTTCAGAAGTACTTTTTGCTCCTTAAAGCGGGGAGGGCAAAGGTTGACATCTTTCACCCTGAAGTCTGGTAAAGTACAAACGGGACCTTTGTTCAATGATGTGTTACAACTTTTTAGAGCTGCATGAAATAGAAGGGAAAGGGTTATGTCTGGGTAGTAGTACATAAAAATATGATCCAAGATATATGAATATGGGCTAAGCCACCTGTATATTTTTTTTTTCTCCATTTTTAAATCTATGTTAGTCCACATGCCTAAGTTCATAGGTCTGCAGACAATGATTAAGGTTAAAGAGCACAGAGGTCAGTCAGGGTTTTGCAGTGTGCAAGACTGGAAAGAAGGAATCCCTCCTTCTCCCCCCAGTCATATTTACATCACAGACAAGCACCCCAAAACATACAATATTTGACTGGAAAGTCATAACATTCTCAGGACCCTCAGTTATTTGTAGATTTGCTGAACTTTTATGGAAACACTACAGAGAGGGAAATAATGAAGATTATTAGAAATCCATTTTGTACACTCTAACAGGATATTATTTTTACTGAACAGAGGACAAGCAGAAACACAGCCATAAGGGAGGGAAGAAAGGATACCCTCCTACTATGGGGAAGAGGCAACAAAGTGTGTATTGCAATGAATGGAGACATCCCAGACAGGCACAACAGCCTACCTCAGGTGCCATCCAAAAGGGTGTTCCCACTGAGGTGTTTCTACGCAGCCGTGTACTGGTGAGCTGGGCTGAAACACCTGCAATAAAACAGATCAAAGAAACTTGGCTTCAAATTCATTGTCATTTCGGTAAAATTTATTTCAAGTATCTGGAAAACAAAACCCAAACCTGGGAGCACAGCTGCACAATACACGGCAAATTATGTTTATAATGTAGGTACAAATTATTTGATTAATTTCAACTTGCTCTTTTCATTCAGAGTTGCTGAGAGGTTGTTTTTTGTTTTGTTTTTTTTTTTGTGAATGACTCTCAGTTTGAAGCACTTTAATTCAAACTCAAAAATTCCACTGACACAACTATCCCAGATTTCTTTCTGCTGTTTTCATAAGTATAAATGGGAAATATTAAAATTACAACTTGAWTTTAAAACTTCCGTTTCAGATATTTACTGCCTGAATATCACTGGCTGGAAATTCACTCACTAGCATATTTGCAGAGGCTCCTGTTCAACGGAAGACTTAGGCACTTGCTTAAATCTTTGCCTAATGAGAAAAGCTCAGAAGCTCAAACTCACACTGTACATAGGGAATTAAGCACATACTTAAAACAAAACAGGCTTCAGAGCTTTGCTGACTGGGGTTGGACTACTGAAGCACAACTTAAAAAAAGCCACGAAAGAATGAACTAGAGTGCAATCAAACAATGTTAACAAATTAGAATGAACTTTGACAGCAAATCTTCTGTGCTCTGGCCAACATATAATTGAATGAGTTCAGTTCAGTAGCATTCCAACCAGTTGACACAAAGCCAATATTGATTTAGAAATATATTTTGCATTAACATTTTTTAAAAACAAAAACCACAGTAGTTTAGTCTTGTGGCATTAYCCAGAGGCAAAAATGGGCAGAAACATATAATACACATTGACTGGTGCCAATAAATTAAAAATTGAGATTCACAAGTTAAATTATTTGATTTCTAACTCCAACATTCAGTTCTGTATTTGTTTTTCATTTTTCTGATTTCCTAAGTAYCGCTGTGAAACAGTTAATGGCTGGRACATACAACAAGCCTCTGTCCATTTCACTGTGATCTCTCTTCAGCTAGCTTAATTCATAGTTGCTGTCTAGGGATATTCAAAAACAGTGCAGAATACCAAAGAGCTCAGAAAGGGAGAGCAGGAGCATGAAAGAATGATAAGTTGCAGACATTTTGGGTCAACTTGCTGTGACCATCATTTATTCAAATACATTATTCTGTTGAAAGCAATTGAGGGAAGAAATGTGTGTTACATTGAAAAAACAAGCTATAAAGCCATGCAATAAAGGAAAGAAAAGCCTCAATTAAAGATAACTGTGTAACCCTCTCTGTGACCTAATATCCATATATACAGCCTTGAATATGAAGCAGCTTTTTTAAAATCAAGGTCCTGTCTCATTCTCGGGACAGAATGGATAGTCTCCACTGAATAGGTCGTAATTCAACTTTTTTTAACCCCACTGAATTGAATTTTCATTACCTATTTAATATATACAATACTATACTATATTTAAAATCATTATTTTCTCCTTCTGACATATTTCCTTCTCCACCCATTAAACAATAAATCTGCTTAACATTCCCCAAAATGGCAGAGGATTATTAGTWCCAGGGATTAACCTAAAAATATCCAAAGCATCCACTGTGTTTGGGTACTTAATGTGAGATCTTTCAGTTTTTAGACATTCCACATGCCTCAAGTAGAGCTATAACAGATCTCAGCTGCAATTCAACAGCACACAGATCTGCAAAGGCAGACAAGATACTTCAAACAGACTACTGGGAAAATGAGGAACAGAGTTTGTTGTAAGTGACCCTGCATCACAGAGAAACACTGTCAGAAGAAAGAATAGTCTCCAATTTGATGCCATTCAACTCTTTAAACTCCAAGTCCCTTCTCATCCTAAACTCCTTGCAATTTTACTACTTGTCTTCCACTTTCTGCAAAAAATGAGACAAAACAGTTTACAAACAATATCACCTGTGACTAAGACCTCAATAATTCCCAGAGACCCTGTGGAAAACTGGGCAAGAGTGGAAAAACAGAAACTTAATTAAACTTAATCAGACGCCAACTAAATGGCGTCTGATACTTCTTTGGTCAAAAAGCCCAKAGATATGTGGGCATTTCTTGGCACTTCCTAACTGGTAAGCAGTAGGGAACACTTGAGATTTAAGTCTCATTTTTTTCTGAGCCTGTCATATTTCTTGTGATTTTCTAGTGCTACTGTCATAACTTAAAAAGTAAGAGAAAAAATCCTGAAATCAAAATGTGGAAACAGAGAGACCCATGGGACCCCATAAAAACTGAGAGTTTCCTKGAATGTGCCACTTGACGTTGCAGCACATTGATCTGTCTTTAAGGCCTTTAATACATCTGATAAAAACATTCTGCTTTGAGGAGAAAAGCCCACTTTTCCCATAAAGGAGTAAAAACAAAGATCAGACTGCCAAAATTACCCCAAATGAGAAGGGATCTTCCTCTCATACTAGGCCAGGGACTCACTCCAAATTTTGCTTCAGGTCCTATGTTTCTCCAAGCACTATTTTAATTGTTGCATTTACAATTCAAGATAATGAATCTCTGTCCCTAGAAGATMCTAAGGACTCTCCTCTGTGCCAGCTTCCTTGAGAATCTTCAATATATATGTATGTAAAATTTACAATATGATGAAATCATTAGTATACAATTTCCTTTCCATTGCATAAATTTCATCTTTTAGGATTTTAAAAATATGTATTATTATTTGCAGKTTTTTTTACATAACATTTTACCCTACACTCATTATGTGAACATTATTCYTTACCTTCACACACTACTAAGCAAAACTATTACAAACACAACACTATTTTCAATGGCAATTACCTTGTGCATTATATGGTTTCATTAATTAATCATATTCCTAAAAATCTGCTTCCATTAACTTTAATAAAATTGTCCACTCCTTTGCACACATACCTGAGGAACTAAAGCATTTACTTCTTTTTCTTTCTCAGTGCATGTTCAAAGGGAAAAAAATYGAACTGACTAAATCTATTGTGAAGTCCCTTTCTATCACACTCCCTCCCTTTTTCCTTCCTGTTTCTTATGATATTCCCAGACTGACAATGCTCAAATCTAAGAGCAATAATCACAAATTAAATGGATGTTGGGTTTTGAACCCAAGGGACTATTTTACCTTCTGTTCAGAGGGGAAAAAATATGCTTAAGGCTATCAAAAGCCATTTCAGAAAGAATGTTTCCTTTTCATATGTAAAAGACAGAATATCTAAATTTAAATTAGGATGACAACTGCCCTGAAACTGGCATTTCTTGTGAAACACAAAAGAGCTTCGCAAATAAAATGCTACTTTCGGAATTTCTAAAAATTATTAAATTATGTTTAAGCTTTTAAAAGTTTAAACTCTATAACTGATTTTTACTTAGAATTTTTATTCTTGCYGTAATCAGATTCTTTTTGCATTTTTCCTTCTTAAAATAATTCTGAGTATGCTTCTGAAAAAGCCTCTTGCTGTGGCATTCTGCCTTCCCAAGAGAAAGTRAACAGATGCCTTTGGCTAAACTGCATGTATCAGGAAAACAAAGGGGAAGCAGTCATTACCRAAGTCAACGAGCTTGACTCCACCTTCTGTTGTCAGGAGAATGTTGTTCCCTTTCACATCTCGATGAATGATCCGGTTATTGTGTAAATGCTGAAGGCCCTATATACCAGCAGTAACAAAAATTAGTTTATTCCCTTATTTAAAAACAATCACCCTACTATTAGGGAATAGGTAATGGAGAAGAAAATCTGCACATATTCTACAGAAACATCTGTCCACAGGACATCTGTCCACTGGACTACATGCCCTTATACAACCCCTGCTGCTCTAATAGCCCATGTAATATTGTCAACATTACCATACCTTATAAATGGAAAATGTATGTATGCARTAAGTAAATTGCACCCTCTGCTGTCATTACATGCCCAATGAACATCCTTACCAAGAGAGCACCATATAAGATGTATGAAATTATAGCTTCATCCAGCCTTTGGCCACACTTCAGCAGGCCTTTGACAAGCTCTGTGACAGAACCTCCATTGCACAGCTGGAAAGGGGCGAGTTTTGAGAAGGGAAAAARAGCAAGACAAGTCCTCAATTACTCAATATACTTGTTTAGGCTATAAACATCTACCATGCAAAACTGCACTACAACACAAGTCTGGAAACAACAAAATTCATTTTAGTAGCGATGTAAATAATAAAACACAGCAGGCTGGGTAGAGGAAGTGAAAACTGAAAATTATAAAATGTAATTTATAAAAGACAACTAAAAAATTTAAAATATTATGAACAGGACTGTATTTCAGTGTTAAAAGAGGATTTATAAATTCAATTTACATTATTTGAGTATTTTCACAGCAATACATGCATTGTCTTCTTTCAGAAGTTCTTTTGTACAGAAAGAAAAGGTCAGACAGAAGAGATTGATGCTCTTGATAACTGGGAGGCCACAAATTAGTCATTTTAAACTTTCACCCCATCAATGCTCCCAACAGCAGGCAATATAAAATAGACAGAAGCCATATCTCTATACTCAGATGCCAGGGCTGTCAACAACAGAGAAACATTCTAATCCAGAAAAGCAGGTTCTTCCAAGAATTTTCTACTAATGGGCTGCCATATATCAAAAGGAGTAGAAAAAGTAAAATTAGAATCTTTGTAAATGTGTTCTCATCCACACTTTAAGTTTACTGTCCATGCCATTCTAAGCAGGTATTCATCTCTATGTTTTCTCCTCTCTTTCCTTTTATTGCCTTGATGTTTCCAATTGTTTGACCAAAAAAGAACAAACAAAAACAAAACCAAAACCAAAACAAAAAGCCCCAAACCTAACAAACAAAAAAAAAAGGGAGAATTGACTGCCTTTCTCGTATTGAATTTTCGCCTCTATGCCTGTTTTTAGGGCCAGCACTCTTGCCATTTCTGCCAGAGAATCACATGCATTTCAACACAAGTTGATTTTACATCATCACTTTAAAATACCACAACATAAATTAGGAGAATAGTAAAAAGCAAACTCTCAAGATTTGCATTTTTCAAATAGTTTTATGAATAGTGTATCTGTTCAATCACTATCAATCACTAATTTCTGTTATGTGTTAATATTTTTCTTAATTCATTACTAAATCTCCCTTGCAACAAAAAAATTTCACTAGACAAGAAGTTTTAGCTCATGAAAGGACCAGACCACATGATAAACAAGACATTCTTCATGTAAAGAAGATCTTGAAGCAAAATTCCATCAGGTAAAACATTGATAAGTTCTGTATCGACCTTTTTTTTTCAGTTYATTAGTAGGAATTGTTTTTAATCTTTATCAGTTGTGTGGGAGCATTCAAGTCAATATCAACCAACAAATGTATTCACATTAAAGTGCATGTTTTTCTTCCCATGCTTAACTGTTTACTGACAAGCCATTAAGTCAAAGTTTTATTTCTTACTTTCAGTGCATTCAGTGTTCTGTTTATATAGGCTGTACTGAACTTATCTCTGGCTTGCAAATAAAATATATAAAAGTATGCCCTAACTTCAAAAAAAAACCCAAGCTGGTTGTGACTGGAAAATAATACAGACTGACAGTTGTTTGGCCATATATGTTAAATGAATGACTGACTCAAAACCACATCCCACAAACACTACTGCAGCAGTCAGTGACACTATTCTTGACACTGAACAAAGAACTAGGAAAAAATAAATTTTTAAACTTCATTGCCACTTTCATACCTAATGGTAATACTTTAAAAGGYGGAGTGATGCACATTTAAATGTTGTCCAAGACTTGCATCATCATAAAAATACTTAAGGCATCCACTTCTGCCACCCTTCCTCATCACAAGCATTTATCAAAGAAAGGTCTTGCTTGTAGTGAGCAAACATGGCAAAACTGTGCCTAAAGGAAAAAAAAATCTACCTTTTTATTACAAATTTTGGAAGTCATACATCAAATGAATGTTTTTCATCAAAGACTCAGGGATCAAAGTCTGAACAATCTGTATATTCCCTTTTAGTGAAAATGTGTCATTAATTTATAATATCACAGGTAACTGCTATGCATATATAAATTTGCATGCAAATTCCAAGGCAAGGAATAGTTTGGTTTGGCTGATAAATTTTCCTGTATAAGGAAAGTACATTTTTCATAGTGTCAAATTTCTTCCAAATTTTGGATTATGTGCATCAAAAAAACAGCTGAATTCACTTATTTAATTCATAAAAACTTGCTCTAATTCTACATTCAATTTTATTACATAGAGTATATGATGATTTTGCTCTACAAAATTTTGTCATTGAACACCATCAAATTAAAAAAACAAATCGTCCTTTTTTTAATAGTTACTGAAATTTAAGAGGAAACACATCCAGAAGTTTTCATTCAAGCTACATATTGCTCCAGTACATGCATGTATTATTGGGATTCCACAACATGTAGTGAAAATAAAGATTCCCTATTCTGATTCTAGTCATCAYTCAAGAACAGAGAATGGAATTTCTAAAACAATCAATAATTAGAAAGTGAATCCCAGCTTTTACCAATCTAGCTATGGAAGAGAGAAAGAYCTGAATAGTCGGTTACTAGTCATCAGAGCAGTAACTCCCTGCGCAGAGTTCTATATCAATTAAGCCTAGAAAACATGAAATCCTCATTTTACAACAATCTTTGGCAGACACTTAACTGGAAACATGATCACCAAAATACAATTTGACATTGTAAGAATACTGATTGACAGTTGTCATGGGTACCTGGCATTTGGCCAGTGTGAAACTGAGGACTCTCAGCTCCAGTGCCTGGAGCACCTCCTCCCCCTCCTTCTCCCTTGACCTTGGTGTCTCCATATTGTTTCCCTCGCATATTCTTCTCACCTACTACACTTCTAAGCCTGTGTTTCCCTTTGTTTTGAWTTTTTCTTWAATATATTATCACAGAGGCATAATTAGCTTCTCTAATTGGCCCAGCCTTGGCCAGCAGCATGTCTATCTTCACAGCCATCAGAGACTGGCTCTGTTGGACATGGTGGAAGCAGCTTCTCTAGCAGCTTCTCACAGAAGCCATCTCTGTGGCCCCCTCACCACCAAAAACCAACCAAAGGCCAAGCAAAACCAACACACCACTGAACAAGAAGAGTTATAGAAGGCATTTCTGTTGCTAGGTTTCCAACAAGTCCCTAGTTTAAAATTACCATAAAACAGACTTTCCCATTACACTTTCTCTGCTCAGTTTTGCAGTAAGCAGCTCATTTGTTAACTACCCTCCATGTTACTACTTCATCATCTTTTGCATTCCACTCAAATGCCTGAGTTCCCCACACGTTTATATAAATCTCTTATCTAATGTTTCCCCTAACAAAAAAAAACCCGAAGGATCTGCTTATTTTGGAGGCAGAATGTAGCAATTAAAACAGAAATTAAATGCAAGAACATTCCCTATTAAACAATTTTTTAAGTCTGGATGTGATTTTCARCAGTAGGCTACCACACATCATCTATCATGAAAGTCTGTGACTCTTTTAGCAATAATAAATATAAACCCAACCACATTTGCTAAGGTAAGATGCAATATCATCAAAAAGTTTTTACCTCAAGTACTAGCCAGAGCTGTCCTCCCACATATTGATCTGCTTTGTAAAACATCCCATAAAATCTAACAACATTAGGATGATTGGGTAGAAACTGCAAAATATTATATTCAGCTTCAATTTCTTCATCTACATCCTAAATAAAAAACACAAACATACAGAATATATGAAGACAATGACTCCCAATAAAGCAAGAACAAACTCTCGTGGATAACAAGACGTATTTTTAATTAGTTAGTACTTTTAAATAGTTTTATTTTAATGCAGCTATACATTGTACAGAAAGCACACTATGCTGTACATTTAATACAMACAGAATTGTGCCCCTTGTGCTTTCCCTACATACAAAAAAGTGAAGTCTGTGTAAATCAAGCAGTTGTTCTTCAAGAATTCTTTCAGTGCATAATACACATCACAAGAAAATTAAAAATCATACTTTACTCTGCTCAGTTGTCTAAGTAAGAAATTTAAACACRTATGACTTTTAATCTGTTTTAAATCATGCATATTTTTAACATGTCTGCTAAATACATGAAGCTCTGATTTATTCTTTTTTCTATGGTACCTAGATAGGACTAAACAGAACAATTACACAGAACCTCAAAGGGGCCATCAATAAAACCAAATGCATTCTTATGAGGAAAGACATACACCAGAAACAATGAAAGAGACAAAACAACCACCCMTGAAATATGAAAAGGTTAAGTATTTTTTAATGAAAAAATTCTCTGACAATTATAAAGTACTGTTTATACCAGCACACAGACCACAATTCAGAATAGTGCTTAAGCACTGAAACTTTGCTAATTTTTGCACAGACTTGAGTATTAGAAAATTTAAGCTTGTGCCTTYCTCAGATTTACACAAGAGAAAAAACCACGATGAATTTCAGTAGTGACCAATGACAGAAATATAACATTTTCAAGTAAATATTTTAGCCCAGCTGTCATGACCAAACTCTAGCTTGGTTCAACCTGAACAGCAGCCAGTTAAAACTTCCACTGAAAACTAGGGCCTTGGTTCTCATGGGAAGCTAGGCATTTAATACCCACTAAAACCAGAGCTGGCAGAGACCTACCTCTGAGGATCTGGGATGCGCTCTTCTTTTTTTATCTATACTATTGCCTCACAGTTTATCTGCTTATAAAAGGTAACTCTGAAATATCCTAAAGTTCACAGTGCTTCTGTGATGGGAAGAGTAATTCTTTTGGGGAGTACACAGAATAAAAATAAAAGAACATTAAGATTCACAGCATCTTGTATTTTCCTGGCTACAGCAGGCCCTATGAGGAATGCCTCTGTGTCTTCTCATAATTTGCAYGCTCCAAGCAAAGATAACTAAATTTGTAGCAGAATTACACAGACCTAAAACACAAACTGGGCAAATGCTGTCCTCAAACAAGATGATGAAATTCTAAGTTGCGCCACTCAGTTACTGGTACTAAACTCCATCTGCTAATGCATTCTGCAAAACAGTTCCCTTCTGGATGTTGTCAGTATCTTACACATTTGATTTACATTTCAACTCTGAGAATTCTTTTAAATTAACACTGAAGTTACAGTTTAATATTTTTTACTTACACTGATAGGATCCAGAATCTTTACTGCTGCCAAGCTTCCATCTTTCTTATTGGCAACCTTATAGACTTTACCATAAGTACCTTTCCCAATAGTCTCTATAATTTCCCAGGTATCTGAAGGATCAGCTAATGATTCTAGTCCAATCATACTGGAATTAYATTGAAACAATCCATACAGTGGCTTCCTGGAAAATAAAGCAAACATACGTACAGTGGGACACCCTAAGTAAGAAACTCTGTACTAGAGAAGGCATCTTATGATAAAGAAATCAAATATTGTCCTAATTTAAGAAGAAATACATATAGAATCACAAATGAAAATCAGACAGAAATGTAAGATCACTCCTTGAAAAAAAGTGAAAGAAAACTCTGGAGACCACTACACTTTCCTTACTTTCGTGTATTGCTTGCTTCAAACATTGTCCCACACRCAGGACCATTCTAAACACATTTTAACGAGATCTGACAAAATCTGCTCCCTCCTCTACAACACACTCTTTTAATGGACATTTTACACAACTGAATCAACAAAGCTCATGAAACAAGGCCCGGTTTCTGGTGCTTTAAAAAGSTAAGTCAGGGCTTTTGCAGAAATTTCTGTAATGCTCCCTGGAGACTGCCAGACAGGCATACAGTAGGTATCACCTCGATATATCTGATAGATCTACAATAGAGCTACATAGAAGTTAAGGTTGGGCTGGCTGGTATCACAAAATACAAACCAACTTGAAAATAGGCAACAGGTACATCACTGGGGTGATCCATCACTGTTGAGATGTTTCTCAACAACTGCACTCATCTCTCTCTGTATTATGCCAGTCAGAATGTATTATGGTCTGTTACACTGGCTGACCACCTCCAGAAGACCTCCCAGTCACRGGACTTGTTTCCCCAAACACTCCTGACTAGATCCTGTTGCAAATGGATCACTACAGCCTATGCAAAGGGCTCCTTCCCACCCTGGAATTACATAGATGGCAAATTCTGATTAGGAATATRACAATACCATTTTAGGATTTCATTAAAAATAGTGAGAAGATAAATCTTGTCCTTGAACTCGAATTATAGAAAGAAGAACTTTAAGATGGAATTAACTTAACTTTCCTATATTAATCAATTAGGGAAACTCACTGGTTTATGATTTCTCTAAGAAAGAAGATTATTTGCCCGTTTGATGGCTGTCAATAAGTCTATTAGCTRTCTGTATGCTTAACCAGGAGATGTGAAGTCCAAGTGTGTCCGAACATAGGAGTGTGATTGTGATGAGCAACTGAAGACAACACCACCACAGACTGCAAAAGCTCCCAGTTTTTGGAGGTGGATCAACAAGCACCTCAAACATACACTTGAACTTTAAGGTTTGACCCATCTCATTCTAAGCATACCTGACATGTGCAAATCTCTCTGAAATAATTTTTAAAACTTGCTGTCTTCGAACCTCTTCACCATTTCTAGCATCAGTGACAACTAGAGAAAACTTCTATTTCCCTCCTTAGCTAAACTGTATTTGCACCAAACCTGGTATAAAATAATGTATGAAATGGCTTTGGTCTCTTCACTAAAAGAAGGGGGAAAAAAAAGAAGGAAAAAAAAGAAGAAAAAAAAGAAGGAAAAAAAAAGAAGAAAAAAAAGAAGAAAAAAATAAGAAAAAAAAAGAAGAAGAAAAAGGGGAAAAAAAAGAAGAAAAAAAAGAAGAAAAAAAAAGAAAAAAGGGGGGGGAAGGGAAAAAAAAGCTAGAGTCAGTATCATTTATCTGTTATGGGTCAATGTCAATAATGTAATTTTTTAGAACAGTTTCTCAATATTTGATCCGATACAGCATGCTGCAAATAAAGAATAGTACTCTGAACACATACAATTAGTATGTCAACAGAGAAGCAGGGCAGGTGAAAGACTTCTCTGAAATCAGTAAACAGATTGTACTACATGCACTGAAACTGCAGCCACAGATATGGAGCTCCTGATAAGCCAACCTTAAGAACAAAATTTGATTGCTGGATGGGGATGGTGGTGAATACAAACATGGGAACAGTTACACCTCATGAAAAAAAAACTCAACACAACAACATATCGAACATGTGGTTCTAATGCTTTACGATAAGTGCTACAGACGTTCATGTGCAAAGAAACAGAGGAGAATTGACCGGAAAGAGCTTTGATAAAACCTTACAAGGAAAACAAAGACAGACTTATATTTAGTTCTCTGTCACTGTAGCAACTACCCTATCACACAGATTGTCCAGAAAATGATGCATTCTACTCTTTGTACCAACATAATATTATGTGTCCCTCCAAGCAGCTGTTGTGGATAAATAAGKTTTTCCTTAAAACAAAACAATCTAGCTTCATTGCCTGCTCTTGTTCTGAATAATATAACCTTAAAATGGTATATCCAAAATATTCAAAACACTTAAACATTTTTTTACACCWGAGGACAATGTTGGCAAAATAAGTTCTAATGCAAAATTTTTACAGATGGAATCATGATGAGAGGACTAAAGAAAAATTTTACTAAGCACATTTGTACATTGTGATAACATGGCAGCATTTACAGATTGCATGCTTCTGCATCACATGGAATCAGAGATGTGAAATATGTACCATAAACCTCTTCTGTTTAAACCATAACAGCCTCTTCTTGAACTCAAGCAATACCTACCTAAATAAGGTTCTACATCTGTCATCAGTTAAAAGTGCCTTTGGCCCCCATGACACTACTGCATTCCTATAATACAAGTCAGTATTTTACAGTACCAAAAAGCAAARGAACAGTATCAGCTATCACCGTCAATAATGTAAAATCTGAATTTAAAAAAACCTGAAACAACCACAGCATGTAAACACTAAATGTGTAAACGGAGTCTGTGCTTTTCTATTTCCTGATTTGCTGATTTTCAGAAAATAAACTGTCCTCGTTTTAAATACGCTGCCAGTCACTTTTGATTTATACTTCTATCTAATTTTCACTGATGTCAATGGTATTATATTAACAATCAAATCTCTTTCTGTTAGGATTATCCAAACCAACTTATTTCCATGGGATTTCATAGATAGAATATGCTTTATTCCCATCTCCACAGTTGAATTTCTTTCACTGAATATGCACAACAGCTGAAATTGAACTAGTATGAAACAATTTGTAAACAGTAATTCACAAAATTAAGAAAGAGAAAAAGGAACTTGTTTCATGAAGTTATACTAATGAATTTGATTGATCTGCGTCTTTCAACCAAGATACCATCATAATAACTTGCAGCTTYCTTTTCTCTGATATCACCAAAAGACAGTATCTGCTGTCTCTGGCACTGTTAACATACAGGTAGAACAAGCAAGTCACAACGGATCAAGAAAAAGATTCAGCCTGCATCACCCCTCAGAGGGGATTTTGTTTATGGTTCATTCCGCCAGCCTGACACAGATTTTTATGAAAACTGTAGACTCTTATTTATTTTGTGGATTACTACTTCTCTGTCAAATCTGGACACAATCTTCTCTGAGAAAGGATTTTCTCACAAAACTTCAAGACTGTTTTACTAAGGTTCAGCATACATATCCTAACATCACTGTTGACACTGGAAGTTAAACAAAAAAATGGTCAAAGCATACGCAGACTGYATAATTCACGGGGATGACTCGTGTAGCAAATCTGCACTTCTTGCCAATATGCAAAAAATATATTTTTCTTTTTTTTTCCCCACAAAATTAGCAAAATGTATTATTAATGGAAAATGACACTTCATTCATTCAGTGATGGAAGACTGAATGCTTTGATAAAAGACTCAATGTTTTGTTGAGAATTCAATTATTGCAAAAAACCACTTCCTGCACATGGCAAAACAAGTATTTTTGAGAGTCATTTTGAGGTAAAGAGTACCTTGTTACTGACAGAAATCAACAAAAACTTCTACTAAAGTTTGGAGTACCATTGAAAATAGAGCCCCTGATCATTCACAAGGAGCTATAATACATTTCATTTATTTGACTGCTAATTAATTGGTTCTATATCTTCAACTCCAAGGACCAAATAATGAATAAAATTATGTACCTAGTCAGTTACCATGATTAATTATTAAATTAATTAAACATTATTAAGTAGAAATTATCTTCCAAGACCACCTCCAAATAGCTGTTAAGAACAACTCAAACAATAGGTTCTGATCAGTGGCATTCCTATTGCACAAATGTTATTTATATTAGCTATTTAAATATAATTCCAACAAGCAAACTACACTAAAGCAGTTACAAATTAYTAAGAGCTAACACATCAGTTTCACCTCAGGCTGTGAACTCAGCACTAAAATGAAGTTTATAATCCCATGAGCCCATTCAGTTATAAACTGCAGGTGGCAAATCAGGTGACTACTAGGTACAGTCCCCATGTGTGAAAATCAATACCCGAGAAGGTTTTCTCTGCCTCCTTCAGTAGCAATTTAATTCAGCAAACAAAATGCATGTGTTAGTGCTAAAATGGAAGGATGAAGGGCTGCAATGGAATGACGACCCATAGATTAAAACCAGGTTCTTCATTGCAGTCTTATGAAAAAGTTTGATATGCTTTGTGTACAGACAAGGAAAAAGAAATCTAAGACAGATGTAAGATAAACTTCGGAAGAAAGTAACTGCAACCTTACATTAGTGACCTATTTTGTGAAACCAGCTTATCTTATATTGGATTTCTTCCCGCTAAGCCTATCAGAATTCTTCAGCACCAAGACAGCTTCTTCACAGGGAGAGCTTGTATCAGCCAGTGATGCTCAGAACTGTGTTCTGTGTACTGGTTCCCATGCCCAGTATTAGCCAACAGTAGTGTGTTTAGTGTGTATTAGCTTAAGATGTTGTCGTGGAGGTACAAATAAATTGGTTCAATCCTAGCAGCTTTGCTTCATTAATGCTAAAGATCATTGTGACACTAATTGATACTGAACTTGATCTATTTATCAAGTCTTTTACAATCAGGAGCTGAAGAATTAAAGTCACTTTGTCATTTACAGAGAGTGAGCAACAACTACTTAATATTTGGAAGGGATCTTCCTCTTGTTTCACAATGTACTTTAACTGTATAATGCAATCAATTATAATTCATCACCATAATTCTTCAGTATTTATTTTATAGCAGTTTTATTTTAATGAGGATTTTTAATAAGAAGACA